TATATTCGTTCTCATTTGTTTTGCATGTATTGTGCCGCTTTGAGAATAAAGAATAAAGAGAATAAGGATAGCCTGTGTTGCTAGTGCTCAATGTCTTTTTTTAGTCTAAGAATTCATTTCATTAGTCTAAAATTAAAATAATAATAACAGTAACTTATATATGTAGTATATACAAATATATGCAAGTATGGCGGCGCGCATTTGTTGCATGAGTTCTGATCAAAATATATTCTACAAAGAGTTAGTCTGTATTTGTTTGCAATTGAGAATAATTAAAAAAACTAGTTTAAATTCGATAAAATCTGAGAGTAATTCAAAGTTCGAATTTGGTAACATCTGAGAATAATTCAAAGAATTCCCTTTTGTTGAGAATGAAGAGAGCACAGAAATCACAGACTTGTTTTCATAAATGAAAAACATCCCAGACCATAAATATTCCCGACTTGCAAACTATATCATACATGTTTATATACATAAACATCCCAGAGTGTAAATATCCATAATGTTAAACATGTTAACTTATTCGAATCTGATTGATATTGAGTGAAAAATCTCCCGCAACCGCCTTTTGCCTCTAGTACGTATTTAGACAACGCTACAGTTATTCATATAGCGACTTTTTAAAATATGCCGAAAAGAGATTCACCCAGATTTATTTATCTAGCCTTGGCTGCCGAATTAACCAAAACAACAGTTTTTGTTTTTCATAAATATCCCAGACCATAAAAATGCCCGACAATGCAATTTTATACATGTTTATATACATATATACTGTAATATTAAAAATGTTTGGTATACTAATATTTTATTTTATTGGAAAGATTCCCTACGAATATTTCTAAGGAGTGACCAAGTGGTGTATTACTCTGATTGCTCGGTTTCAGAATGCCATATCAATCGGCTTCATAAAATGTCAATCGAGATCGGCATGAAGCAGTCCCTATCTATAATTTTAGGCGGATGGAACGCCTTTTGTTGTTCTAGCGAATTAAACGCTTTTGAATTGCTTTTAGACAATTTCGTTTATTTAATTCTTACCGGGCTATTTATACACAAATTACTACAACAAATTATGCTAACGTAAACAAATAATAGTTGTTTTAATTGGGGCGCCTGGCGTCCCAATATGCAATACTCAGCCAGGTGAAATGTGACATAATTTTCATTTTCTTTTAGCAAAATATTTATGTTGATTTTGCATAATTCTGTCACACTTCCAAGTGGATGCATATAGCGATATGCACACACACGCACACACACACAGGGGGATGTATATCCATACATACATGCAAATATATATACTAGCAAAATTTCGTATGCTTTCGTCATTACTTTTGGCATAATTTCAACTTGTTGGAATAGAGATGCGACCTGGTTGGAATAGAGATGCGAATTTGCCACGTAAAATGTCTACATTTTGAACATTATTATTATTTTTTTTTTTTTTTTTTGCATCCGCTTGAGTGGCCGAGTAGGCAAGAGTCTCGATTAGCAACTACATGGTCGTGGGTTCAAATCTCAAGTGCGGTAGAGTTTTTAATAAAAAGCCGAAAGCTTTAGATGCTAGTGCTTTTAAGACTTTAGTCTTAGAATTTATTCTCTGGCTTAATTTATAATAAGAATAATAATAATATTTTTTTGGGCTTGTTGTAAAATAGTTTTTGTTTATTTTTCACATAAGGACGCATCTTATGTTTACAAATAGTACCAATGAAATGCTATTCAAATATATATTAAATATTCTACTATATAAATTTTAGATAAGCTAACAAAAGGGGGTACATTCAAAATTCTTCATTTATTTAAAATGGAATATTTCAATAAAAATGTGTACAGAAAAGCACAAGAAGTTTTCTGATTGTGTTGGTGTTTAGCTTAAACTTGTTTCTTCTCTAAGCTTTGATGCCAATCTCTCCGGGAATTTTTCAAGGTCGGGGAAATTTGAATTTGCATTTATTGAAAGCAACTCTGCCTTATTTTTTTTTAATAAACGATGTACGGCATTTATCCCTTTTATCTAAAATTTAACTCAATGCAATTGAGTTAGTTTCAACAAAGCCGTTTTACAAGTATACAACGGGGTGATAAGAAGAGGTCATTGACTTATTGAACATAAGTACTAGTAGTAGTTTACGCTATAGCGTTATTTGTGACGAAACTGTGGCAATTTGTTGTCGCGAAGAAGGTGTACTACTTTTAACAGCCGTGAATATTATTAAGACGACAGCTAACCTAGAACCTGTTGCTCGACACTTATATAAATTTGAGCTAAGCTAGTACTAAGTAATTACTAATTACACATTTAAATAACTTCAAGAACTCAAAAAAGGTAACGTCATCAATATTGGGGTTTTTCGCTCAACAAAAAGTAAATGGTTGTTAAACCTAGTCCACTTCCTCAACATAAAAATTTATTTTGCTATTTTGTACTACTAAGGACTACATATCAAAATTAAAAAAAAAAAAAAGGAACAAAGAAAACATTATTCCATTAGATAAAACATGGCTACGTTTAATTCTTTTGGAAGTTAATAGTTTTTTTGACTTGCCAATTCAACAGCTTTACGGATAACTACTAATAGTTCAAAATAAGCTTAGGGCAGCTATTTCCCAGATTTAAATCTTATCTATATGTATATATATATATATATATAGTTATATGTGCATGTACAGTAGAGAAACCTGACGGTTCATCAGTAACATAATCTTAAAAAAGGAGTCGAACACATGGACTACAAGCGTTAAAATTCAGAAGCGATGAGTGTTACTTATACTTCGGGATAATCACGTATGAAAAATGTAACTTTCAGTTTCGCTTTCGTGTGTTTAGCAAAAACATTTCAAAACGAAAGTAAAAGCTAGTTAAAAAAATGTACTTTGAATCAAATACTGTTTTATACTTTTATTTGTTTTATGACTTTGGCCACTCTATCTCGTTTCGGTTTTTATTATTTTGCCAATGTCGAAAAAATCGGATTTTCATACCAACTCAGTAGCAGTTATTGTTATTCTTATTCTTTTTGTTTTATTGAACACTAATTAAATATTGTTGGGTACAATCCTAGTATTGTAGAAAGATAAGTTTTAAAAGTGTTAAAAATGCATTGAATCGGTACTTAGAAAAACAGTTCAACAGCAACCATTTTGATTGATTGGTAGTTATTGTATGTAGAAAAGAAATAAGCAAAGAGAGGCTAATCATAACTAAATCAATTACACTATCAAAATCCATATAAATCGAACCAAAGCTTTTCGTAGGTTTGTGTTATATATTGATAAGATTAAAATTTGGTTTTACGTGAATAATGTGTCAGAATTACTCCCTAAGACGTTTTTGTGAGGAATGGCGAATTTGGATACGACCATTTCTAATTATTACCTATGTAATATTTGCAATTATCGTAGTGCCATTACTCATCGTTTATTCGCTTAAAGATGGCTTCTCGCGTAGGAATCAATTGATATTAATTGGTGGTTTGTTTGTACTCTCCGCCGTGCCGGTTTCAATATTTCATATTATACAACATGTGATTCACTTCACGAAACCCGTCTTACAAAAACATATTATACGAATACTATGGATGGTACCGATTTATGCTTTAAATGCTGTAAGTTAGTTGTTCACAGTTCGACGAACAATTTTTAAAACATTCGAACATTGCCTATATTTTCTTACCTTTCTATATGTAACCAGTGGCTTGGATTATTATTTCCCAAACATTCGATATACGTAGATTCACTGCGGGAATGTTATGAAGCCTATGTTATCTATAACTTTATGGTTTATTTGCTACATTACCTTAATCTTACAATGGATTTAGAAGCGACAATGGAATATAAGCCTCAAGTGCATCATTTTTTTCCGCTGTGTTGTCTACGTCCTTGGATAATGGGACGCGAGTTCATACATAACTGTAAACACGGTATTCTCCAGTATACCGTAGTGCGACCAATAACGACTTTTATATCGGTGTAAGTCAACTGATACACAAATAAATATTATTATCGAAAAATGCTAACGGTTTATACGTGTTTCAAAAAATGAAATTGATTCTCAATATTTTAATAACTTTCGTCCTTCCTCTACAGTGTATGTGAAATTTGTGGGGTTTATGGAGAAGGCACATTTGCAGGAAATGTCGCTTTTCCTTATATTGTTGCCATCAATAACTTATCGCAGTTTGTAGCCATGTATTGCTTAGTGCTGTTTTACAGAGCGAATAAAGTAAATAAACAAACAAAGTATTATTTTAAAGCAAAAGTTTTTCATAATTTTTAATTGTTAGGACGATCTTAAGCCTATGAAACCGATTCCAAAGTTTTTATGTATTAAAGCTGTGGTATTTTTTTCCTTCTTGTAAGTGTGTCTCATATGTGTCATTTATCCACGAGATCTTAGCGAATTTCGAGCAAATCCGCAATCTAATAGATGTCGAAGCTCCCGCATGAATTTCTTGAAATAGTTCATCTCTAAACGTGCATCAATCTCTTAGTTGCAAAATATCAGTAAACACAAGTGGGGAATATAACCTCGAACTTGTTCTGAAACCGAATTTCCTTGCAGCATTTTAGTTATTTATTTTTCTTTTTTGATTTCTACCTAAAGTTGGGGAAAACGTAATAAATTCTGTTAAATGAGAATAAATGATGGGACAAAACATAATAAAAATAATAATAAATTATGTTAAATAGCGATAAATTATGGAAAATGTAATAAATGTTAAATGAAAAGAAGTGGTGGGAAAAACCAGAATAAGTAGCACACTTTAAATACTTGACATGCGATAAAATATTTCTCGAAATTCGCTAGAGATTTACGCATAAACTCAATGCATGAGGTTTTAAAAATGTTAATTTAATTTTGGTTATTTTACCTTTCTTCAGCCAAGGTGTGATACTTAATATTTTGGTATACTATGACATTATAAAAATATTTGGTGCTGAGAAGAAAAGCAATGAATTTAATGTAGCCTCAATATTACAGGTTTGTGAATGCAGTTGTTTTTTTATAGTGTTCATAAACTTATTTTATATTACAGAATTTTTTAATTTGTATTGAAATGTTTCTGGCTGCGGTTGCTCATATCTATAGTTTCCCGCACCATCCTTTCCACATTAATTCACCACAGTATTGGAATAATCCGAACCACAATTGGTGCAGAGCATTTCTCTCTATGATGGATATATCTGATATACAAGAAGACGTAAGTGAGCATCTGGGTGTCATGAGCAGTTCGATTAGCAGAAGATTTCAGGGTCGGACGAGCTATCAACCATTGCCACGAGGACCAAGGCGCTCAAGCAGCGAGTCGGAGTACTTAATTAATAAACGTCAGGATGGAGAAGTAGTCAGAGCGAATTTGTTGGTCGTACCGATTGCCGACGATTTGCCAGATACAGGTAATAGATATGAATACCATACACATTATGCTAAAACGCTGGCCCAGGCCAATCGCTATGGAGCTACAGACAATCTAGTTCTACCTGTTTGTGAAGCCGAAATAACCAAAGATTCTCCATCTCACCCCCACTTAGCAGGAGCCCAGCCTAGCACCTCCAAAACTTCCATACCAATCAACAATCACCTTTCGTCTGCAACTTCAACAAATTTTGCTGGCATAAGCATACAGAAGCGGGAATCTAATAATCACGAATTTTCAACACATTACGGCGCTCCAGTTGCTGTTGGACCCAGTTTTTTGCAGGCACGCAATGTTTCTGCCAATCCCATGCCCAGTCCCATACCAGAATCAAGCGATGATTATGCTTCTTTCGTTGGTTCCTCAAGATGACCATGCTACGAGAGCAATAGCCAATTATACAATCCATCTAATCAGTCTGCTAGTGAGTCGATTTCGATAGGGTTTTCAAGTAGCCTTAAGCTTTCGAATAGTGATAGTAACAGCAAAAATTCATCTGACTGGCTTAGTTCTCCCGATGGTGTTTCTGCCAAGATTTTAACTGAAATAGGTCCACCCGGACGATCTTTTACAGAACACTTCTCCTAAAATTTACATACAAGTAACGAAATATACATTACACTATATGACTGTAAAAACATCAGAATTGTAAATTATTAAATGTTTGTAATATTTTTACAACTTATGTTTTGTAACCTTTATTATTAATATTATTTAATTTATAAAACATATGTGCATATATATATGCATAAATATATACATATATTTATATATATATATACATTTGGTTTTTTACTATTTCCTTATTTATGTAAAATTAACGCTTTTTATTTAATTTATTCATATTTTTTGTACAAAAAGTGTTCTTTTAATTTGATATCGTTAAGTGGCCTTGTTTCAATATTTTAACTTGCTTTTTTATATGAAACCTTTCAAGATCGTAAAGATATTTTATTGAATCGACAAAATATCGTTTCGCTTGAACGAATTTCTACACCGTACCAATTTAAATTATGGATATAAACAAACGTTCTAACGACTTTAAAACAGGTTTAACGATTGAATTTGACAAAAAACGAAAGAAAAAGCAAAAAGAAAAACGACTATCTCTTGTTTCGTATTCACATTATAATTCAATATCTTTTGCTTCTGGAGAGATAAATTTATATCATAAGAAATAAAAATGTTTTTTTCTCATTTTCATTTCTTTAAGACCGATAAGATTACACTACAGTGAGCGCAGTTATAATGACTTTCTGCCTTTTAAATTGTAATCTTAGGACTTCTTAAAGGTTTTTTTAGACCCGAATATTAAACTTTTTTGAATTTTATTCATATTTTTTTTTAATTATAACTGTTGATGACAGCCCTTTCACGAGCAACGAAGTACACATTGAACAAAATGCGTGAAATAGCTTAAAAATTCCGTTAAACCTTTCATTCTGCTACAATCCATTTTGTTATCACAAGAAGACTAGCTAATTGTTGTAATTTTGTCGTCCACCTAATTCGAGAAGGAAACGATCTGGATGATCCATCCAATCGGCCGCAGTAAGCTTCACAGTGCGTTGCCGTTCGGCTTCCTTGATCTGCCATTTCTTAATATCTAATTGCACCTCACGCGATGTTTTGTCTCCACAGCCCCATACCTAGAAAATGTAACAATAACAATAAAAAAATGACTAAAAAAGGGCATATTCGGTTTAGAGCGAATCTTGACTACTCATCACCTAAAGCAACCAAAAATCGCTTTGAGTGTTGTTAATTACATGTCCAGGTTGTGCATTCATTGGTTTTCTTAACTATTAATATGTTTTTCTATACAAAATATAATGGATTTCATTGGCAATAATGTCTTTCGATAATTTAGATATGTCATGTAGGCTTGAAAATGCTTCAAATATGAGAAAATTGTGATGGAAACAATATGCATGCTTTTTATTTCATTTTTACGCATTTTTCGGTTTTTTCTGGACATTAACGAATACTATTATAAACGCGTCCAGGAGCACATTCCTTAATTTTAAGCCTTTATCCAATTTTCCAATCTTCAACTCAGTTATTTTCGAGTTTCTCTTACGCTATTAGAAATTAATCGTAAAAGCATTTAAGAAATGCTTATCGACCATAACTGTGAGACGATGGTATCGTTGCAAAAAAATCCAAAGAGGTGGCTGTACTGTACACACTAGTTGAACTTAAAAATTCGCAAAACTTGAATGCGCTATATTGCCTTTCTTTCTCGTTATTGTATCATACAAAATAAGCAAGAGGTTTTAATGTTCAACTAATTTTATAAATAATTAAAAATTTATATGAAAATATTAAACAGAATAAAATCATGCTAGAGCAAGCAATACGAGTTTTTATTTAGTTTAATGACCCGTCTGTTTGTAGTACGCGTGAGCTTCTTAGGTCTATGCTCAACAATTGATCAATATTTCCAAGGTGATGCTAAATATTTCTAAAGGGCTTAATATTCTAGCGCTATTAGATGCTTTAATATTGCCCTGCTAAATAGGAAAAATTGGCAGAAGCTACAAAAAATATAAATCTATATATATATATATATATATATATATATATTTATATATATAAGTGTATAATATTCAATCAGCTCGCTCTCATTCGTCTTATAATACTATTTGGACATCCCTCGCTTTTAGAGGATGTATAATGTAAGAGCTAACCTTAAATGTCGACAGTTTCATATCGTTTTAGTGAATGAGGTTCCATGTTGTTACCGGCTGTAGATAGTAACCGGCAACAATATATGATAAGCTTGATATTTTTTTTATATATTTTGAATATCTGTTTCCAAATTTGGTCTGTGGCCACAAGAATATATTTGCAGAATTGTAGCTTTGTATCGGAAGTTCGGAACCGTGCAATGCAATAGTCTTCGTTTTAGGGCTTGCAAAAAGTGAGAAACGAATCAATATGAGAAGAAATAGAAGGTAGTTATAAAACCTAGATGCCAGCTTAAGCAAAATGTTAACACAAAAGCTAATTATTACCAATAATTTTAGATTATTCCTAAGTTGTAGATAAAAAATCGTTACATAAATTTTTTTGAGTACCGCCCAGGGTTATTTTTACAATCATTTCTAATCGGCGAATGTCCAAATCTTAGCTGAGCTGCATTTTAGTAAATGTTCAGTTGTAATTAAATAATTTCTTCATTTTTCTTACGTGCCTCTATTGATAGTAAGACGTGAGCAATTCCTTTGATGTCAATTTTTTCAAAATGTTCATCAATAGAAATAATAGGTTTTCTAGGATCAGAACCGGCTCGTAAACCCTTGGGATATCCACGTACGCATGTGTTTAGATACAATATATTAGGTTTCCTTTCCAATATCACAAATCTGCAAATAATAGAAAAATAATCTTATGTCCACAAAAGGTAACGTGCATATTAACATCATCGTACTTAGGCAACAGTTGCATAATACAGCTACCATCGCCGCCAACATAAAGGTGGGTTTCCTTCCACTCTCCAGGGGCGGCAACTAAATAAGTTTGATCATTTTCGGCATGAATTAATATTAATGTTGGTCCTCTATATCCAAGGACATGATGCAAAAAGCGATTTGCTCCTAAGCCGTGTTCATTGGAATTGTAAAGCAAAGTCCAGTGGGAAGGCATCATTGATAATTTTTCCTTAAATATTTGAGCGGCAGAAGCTTTACTGGAATTGGGAGAAGTTACTTGTTGAGGTCTTGAATATGATGGTGGTAAAGCCCCAGCCAGCAGCCACGCCTGCGACAGAGGCATTAAGGACGACGATGCGTCAACTACGTTTCCGCTAGGAGATTTTTCTGTGAAGGGGTTGCGTTGTTCTAGGACAGGGGTCTGTAATTCTATCCCACATGGAGGGGGTCCTTGCTCCAGGCCACGGTATGCAGTTGATAATGTGTGAACACAATACTTATGAATGAGTAGGACCAGACGCATCAGATTCTGTTCGAACCAACGGCAAACGTAACCTAAACTCATGCTATCTTGACTGAAAAAAATTGATTTCGTTACTGAACTGAACGTACGGTTTATCTAAACCAAATTGGAAGAAAGTTAAGATGAGATTCTCTCTGGTATTTTTATGTTTTAATTACCTCGGAACAAACGAAACCGTTTCCAGAATGCTGCATGGCAATTGTATAACATATGTGTAGTAAACGTGTCACTCCTTCTTTATCTATAAAATCTGGATTATCTTCTTGCGCGTACATTTTAATATAACATTCCAAAACTTTAGCGTCGTCCATAATACCTAAAAAACGTTCACATTGTTGTCGAAAAGCCATTGTACCCAAATATGTCGTTGTCGCCCTTGAGTTTAAATGCAAAAAAGTAAATAGCCGTTTGCCTAAGTCGGCATAGTGGGGAAACACTTGAGTCTGCATATCCAAAAAATTAAAAATTAATCAATTTCAACTTTGATTTTCCTTAGTCTTTAGAAATATGCCCTTACCACAAATACGTCACTAGCGATGCCGTTAACTCCTAGTTTAACTGACTTTTCCTTGAGAATCACAGCTAATTTTTCTACAGGCACTAGCTGCGTTAAATATTTTTCAGTTACGTCAGCGCCGGATGCTGATCGACTTAATTTACTCTCGGATTTCAAGTTGATACCGGAGGATGCACTGGAACATGTTATTGAAGGACTAATATTAGCTGTGCTATGAGATTTGGCCATTTCTAGGGCGAAAAAGAAATGTATTTTTTGTCAAAATTAATTGGAAATGTGAGTACATTTGCTCGTCAGGCAGACGAGTCTATTCTTTTCTCTCGTATGTGTTAGACCAAACATTTTACGAATTTCATGTCATATGAGGCTTTGTTATTTTACCTTGGACAGTTCCAAATTCTAAGTTTTGAATTCTCGGAAAGGGGTAAAAATAGATGAAAACCAATATAAAGCATCAAATAGATTTCTGTAATCGATAGACATGGAAGAATTTTACGATTGTTCACATAACAATCGTAAAATGATTGACCTAGCTTCCTACTTATTCCATAGCCAAGGACGATTAACTAGAATTTACTCGGATGAATCCTCATTCAAAGTTTTGGTATGTAGTAGAAATTAATTGGATAATTGCTTTACCTCTCAGGATAGCCTCAGGGCTATCAGGACTTTCACTGCCAACCACATTGTCCGCTTTTGAAGACGAATTACCCATTACTTCTATAAGTAATAGCGGTGGAAGTTTGGTATCGTACTTTAATCCACTTTTTCTTGATTTTGTTTTGTAAGGAAATGCGCAATTCAGTCGTATAGTCGTATATCAAGAAAAATAAAAAAGATGAAATTGTCAATTGAATCCACTCAGAGAGTAATAAAATTATTATTGATATGTTCTGTATCAGCTGCTTTTTGAAAATTATACCAAAACAGCACAGAGTTACTTTCAATAAATAAAAAAAATTGTGAAAAAATCACCACATTTTGCAATGAATTTTGATTGGGTTAAGTTCTACGACTGGGTTAATTTCCACACGCTTTAAAAATTTTACATGAATTTTGATTGGGGGACATTAAAGAGGTTTTCGAAGCTTAGCGATGCATTTCCATGAGCTTTAGAACATAACTTGCTTGCTTGTATATCTATTGGAGGCATTTTATTAAATATTTTTATACTTCACTCAATTAATGTACTCGCTTGTTGGCCAATTTGGCTTCCGAAACGGCAGTTAATGAATAAAAGTTAAAATCTTTAGCTCGCTTAGTGGCTTACGCGTGCGTGGGATGAAAACCTGAGATTACGAGCATAGTTTCAGTTCGGGCAATTCAAAATGTTGTAAAAGTTAGCGCTAAAAAACTCGAAGACCTTGATTGATCTTATCGAAGTAAGACTTCAATTCGATTACTAAAATTGAAAGAAAGGCCGAGAAATCTCTGGAAATATTATTATTTTCTAGATTAACAAAGCTGTTGCTGCTCTGCTATTTAACAATCATCAATTACATTGCTATGCTATTTAACAGTCATCAGTTACATTGCTCTGCTGTTTAGTTTTTCACTTCGAAAAAGCAGAGACCTCTAGTATGTGGATAGATGAATAAGTAGATGCACAATTGTATTGTTTATTTATTATTTATGTAACAAACATTTCGCCATTTGCGGCAAGTTAGTTAGTCTTTTTTCCGCGTTTACAGGAAACGGCGATTCTGAGCTTGCGTTTGTTTCGATAATGCGAAGAATAAGCGTCTGAATTTGTTTACATTTGTTGAATAATTGTTCAAGTATTTGTATAAAAATGTGGTAAAGTACGAGAGTAAGCGAAAAATGTGAGAATAAGCATATAAAAATTTGGTAATTTACGAGAATAAGCGTATTATATTCTCAATAATTCGAAAAATGTGAGAATAAGCGTCTGAATTTGTTTACATTTGTTGAATAATTGTTCAAGTATTTGTATAAAAATTTGGTAAAGTACGAGAGTAAGCGAAAGATGTGAGAATAAGCATACAAAAATTTGGTAATATACGAGAACAAGATTCCGCACAATGTTGGCATAGGTTTTTGTAGACAAGCAGTTTCATCAGTATCATGAGTTGGACAAGGATATGCTCCCGAATCATCTTATCAACATATTCTTCAGAAGTTTGCTCAGCGGCGAAATTAATTACATACATAGCCTAACTTTAGGGTTCGTTTTTATTTTCAAAAATCCGTAGCCACAATGCGGGTTTCTTCCTTTGACGATCGACTCAGAGCGACGGAGCACGTGTGTGTGAAATGCATATATATTTTCGGGGACCACGTCGTCGCCGCGGAGGGCGTAGGTGGCGGGAACGCAATAGGCGCTTACCATCAGATACCACTCGCGCAGAACGCAATAGGCGTTTTCGACATGATACTACTCGCGCAGAACGCAATAGGCGCCCACCACCAGATACGCGCTTACAGCAAGGAAACAGACGCCAGGGACAAAACCGAAAACAAATAATAATACACAAATATTATTATAATTAAGAATTTTCTATTTATTTATGTAAACAATTCATAATAGTAATCAGCTGTAATTTGAAGACATTTTCGGATTAAAATTATATGCTGAAAGTCACATGAGCGTTATTTCATTCTTATATGAGGACAGCTAGACGGAGGGTTTTCAAACTTTCATCAAAATGTTATACGCTTAACACAGCTTGGCTTTGAATCGATCCATATATCTAACTCATATATTGGGTTTGGAATTTATGTATAATTTTCATTTACTAAATGTTTATAGTCTTTTAAAGGACTCGTGGAAATGAATCGGAAAATTTACTCTGAACAGAATAGAAGGGAGAGTACGGAATTTTTTAGCTTAAAGCTTTCTTTCGCTTACGTGCATATCTAAGTTTTGTTAATCATTGAAACTGTCAAAACTATACGACCAGAAAGTATACTATACGACCAGAAAAGTATACTATACGACCAGAAAAGTATACTATATATTTACTTAATAATCACATACGAAATGTTCACTTAAATAAGTATGCGAAGGTATGCGATATATGCGGAAAATCTGTAAGGAGCAGCGATGTCTTTGAACGTCATATGTTAGAACACACGGGACAACCACCGCCGGAAGTAAGCTGTGACATCTGTGGACTTAAATTAAGCGGGCCACGTGGCTTGAAACGTCATAAGATGATACAACATCTTGAAGGTGGTAAACAAGAATCAGTTTGCCCAATATGTTCGAAGGTATCACCAAATCCGTTCGCTCTGAAAAGACATATTAAATTTAACCATGAAATGGCTAACAATCATAAATGTACTATTTGCGAAAAGGCTTTCAAACGGCAGACGACATTAATCGTAAGAAATCATAATTATCATAATCAAATAAATTTGTTAAGATAAAATTTCCGAAATTTGCTTTTATTAGGAACATATGACTACACATACTAGCGATGTTCTTTATATTTGTACCTGGTGTCCAAAAACTTTCAACTCTAATGCGAACATGCATGCTCATCGCAAACGTGTGCATCCTAAAGAATGGGCAGAACATCACCGCAAAAAGTATGCAGACAATTTCGCCCTTAATTTCCTGCCATCAGGGCCAAATAGTACGGAAAAGTTGCAAATGCAAGCGTAGTTCGTAAAAACGGCTTTGCTTCAGTTTAATTTAACTAGTGCGTTAGTTTTTTCCATAACGTTATTTTATTAGTTCATTATTATCAATCGTTGTGATAAAGTAAATTTTTCTTAACATTTCACGTCTCCTTTATTAATACTCGGAAAATTTTATTTTTGCCCCCCGGCGGCTTCGTGCCAAATTTTTGGTTTAGCCATGCAGAAGAAAACATTTGGTCGTTAAACATTGCTTCTCGGGGACGGAAATATTCTTTCTAGCGCTATTCCCGCTTGCAACATATTTCTATTTAAACGGAATTTTTCCCTGGTGACAGAAAGCTTTGTATCCAACACGTCACCGTAATCAGGCAATTCTTAAGGAAATGGATAAACATATGACGCATCAAATTACAAATGAAAACGATGTTCTCTGTAATATGTAAAGTGTGTATATATACCTTTTATCTTAAATTAAAATGTAAAATAGAGAGTGTGTGTGCACATTTCTTCTTGCTATGTTTTATATTTTGCGATTTTATTCTAAGCTTTTTATGTTCAATAGAAGCAGACATCAGTTTCTCACATTTTAGGATTTTAAACTTAAAAACATAAGAAACACAAGAGAGCTTTGCTACAATATATTTGTCGTACACACTAGTACAATTCTGAGAAGTTTGCTAAAAAACGAACTAAAATTTTAGATAAATGTTTGCAGTGTGCTTATAAGCTAATTTATATTGGCTTGATCCAGTTAACAACACCAAAAAAAAGAAACTTTATAGAAATAACGTACACAAACAACAACATATTTAGTGGAAAAAGAGCACATAACTTTACTAAATGCTTGAAAATCAATAGATAATAGAAGAACGAGTTTAGAAGATTGCTAATTTTCTAGCAAGAGGTTGATTTGCTGGTTGAACCAATATTGCATTATTTACTGGACTCGTCTAACCTTCCACCTTCTGCTAACATATAAGCAACGTTTGAAAGGTCACTGTGGGCAAACCATGCCCTGTGAAAAAATGAAACCGGTACAGCATGAGTCCTCTAGTAATAGCCTTTCCAACGATATAATATATTAAGTTTTGCTCGGAGAATTTTTTTTTTTCACACATTTACATGTGTGAAATGTGATCTTAGATATCCACCACAACATATGATTCGGCTGATCACAAGCAAGGACAGAAGCAGCTTTACTTTATAGAGTGTTTAAATTTTTCTTACAATTACAATTATTAAAGTTTATTTATTGAATTATTAAAGATCCAGATAACAGTGTCGGGAAAATATAGTTCTCCTATACAATCTCCAACTATAACGCTGACTTGTTCATAATTAAAGCAATATTATATTGTTTTTAATCAAATGACTGAGTCCTGGACTTTTAAAAGCATTTACTAAGAGTACGTAAAGTGACGAATCTCCTAGCCTTCTTTTTTTCAACCATCCTATTTAATAATTACTTCACCTAAAGACCTTGCATTCTAATAAACTCGGTAAGAAAGCAAACTTTAATTACGAAATTTCGAAACACTTGCATTAAACAAGTTTTAAGATGAAAGTTAAAAAAAATTTTTTAACATTCGCTAAACATCTTAAAATAAATACGCATTTATTCTATAAGGTCATGTATATTTTTGAAGATTTTGTGTTAATTCTTCGCATATATTCGTACAAGTGCTTTGATATAATATATAATCTTATATATATAAATGTACCGATGTGCTGAAGCCAGATCCAAAAGGGGTTTAGTCACCTCCTTATATTTCCACACATATTCAAATCCTGCCAAACGCCAGCTGCCATTGTCGGTAACATATATTGACTGTGTACAAACATTTATATGACGCGCAAAAGCCTAAAAAAACTATAATTATTAGGAACTTCAACATTTCTTTTTCCTGTACCTGAATACCTTTTCTATTAGAAATACTAAACTACATAAAATTGTCCTTAAATCCAAACAAATTTGTATATCACTTTGTTGGGGTAATACTGGTTGGGAGAGGCCGCACTCGTTCGGTATCCAAATATTTTAGACCACCTTGTTCCCAAGTTGTAACGTATTTCAATATATAAGGATGACGATAGATCATTAAATTCTATAAAGATGAAGTATATTTTAGAAGTATGAATGGTTAAGGTTGTTTCATGAAAAACCTTAATTGCTCTTTCCAAAGGCCTTTGGACGGCCCAGAGTTCTCCAGTTACTACAAGTTCGCCTTGGAATATTGACAGGTACTGTTTTCCCTCCTCATTCGTAGAAGAAGAAGCCACCGCATTCAACAATTTTCGTTCAACTTCTAATGTATCTAATATCACCTTACAATTTCTGAGTTGCAGGTATTGTAATTCCAGGACACATAAAAAATTTTTCCATTTGCATGGATAAGCGAGAATTTTGGTATATGCCGTCAACTGCTTATCTCATAACTTTAGTAGCATATTCTCCCTTAGTTCGATAAAGTGTATAAGTCAAAAGATGAAGCAGAGCTGAAAATGAAAGAATAAAGTTAAAATATGGAATCATCGAGAATTCAACTATTTTTTTTAGAACAGTATTGAAGTATCCCATACTTTGTGAGACGTCTTATTTTTTGAATCTTCTTGTTTCAAATTTGTAGCTCAATGCATAAGCGTATTATGCTGCTTTACGCACAAATGAAAAAAAAAATTTAATAAGCGAAATGCCGTAAGGAAATTGTATCTCTAAACAACTTCGAAAAATTTCGCGGTGGCGGTGGTAATATTCCAATATATTACACTTTATTCTATGGTAAAGGATGAACTCTTTCAAGAAATTCATATGGGAGCTTATTAAATATCTTAATAAGCGATTTTACTCGAAATTCCCTATGATAATGCATAAATGAGATGTATAAGATTTACTTCCATAAAGGAAAAACTTAATACACAAAAACTTTGAGATGGGCTTCATAGGCCCCACTCTACCACTTCGTAGCTGTACAAATACAAAAAACAAATCATAATGGGAGCTGAAAATTGTATGTTTTGTTGTAAGCTTGCGGACCGATTATAACGTCGAGACGCGCCGGTCGACGCGGACGGCGTAGGCGCCGGCAAAGAGGTGGAGGAGGTGGAGGAGGTAGACGAGGCCACGCCCAGGAAAGAGGTGGAGGAGATAAAAAGCAAATCATCATAAACAAATTTTATTATGGCTAAGAGGATCATATTTTTTATTAACCTTATTAATTAATAGAATAATAACTTTTAACTTTTAATGGTTAAATTCCATTTTCATTGTAAAATTACAGGTGACAGGTCAAGATCAAATAAACAGAACAATTTCATTATTTTATATTCACTGTTTTTTTTTTATACCAATTTTGAACGACGACTATGCATCCCTCTCAATTATGGTCTATTATAAAGAAATTTTATGTAAATGATTATAAACATCAGAAAAACAGAAAAAAAGGTGCAGAAATTGTGGTAAAGTAAACTTGAACTTTTTAAACCTAATTTTAGCCCAACTTACCATATGTAACAAACAAGAGAAAAAAGCAATAAGTATTCAAAATATAAAATATGTAGGGAAATAAATGCACTTACCGCAGTGAAACTTTAAATCTTTTTTTCAAGTTCAGGTGTATAGACGTATGTATGTATGGAAGGTCCCTAATGCTTCCCTTCGGAATTGGGATGTTCTAGAAATATTTTATTGATAATTTTACAGGTTAAGGAGAAGCCCCCCTCGCAATGAAAGAAAGGGGCAGAGGGCTATCGATTACTATTAACATAACATCTTGTACAATGTTAAACCATGTTGCGGAGCTTTGAAAGCACAATCCCTTCTATTTAGTATTCCATAACATTTATTTCCTTTTTGAAGGTTTTCCTAATGACAAATAAATTGAATGGTAAGAACATTAAATCCATTGGCATTATAACACCGTTTATAAAACAAGTTAAACATTTGTGCACACTTTTTGTTGTTGCCGACGTAGCAATGCCTAAAATTGGTACTGTGGAGGAATTCCAAGGACAGGTATAACCTTCGTAAAATTAGACTAATATTGGAATTAACAATAGTGTTGCTTTCGCTTGGTCTTTTTTAGAAACGCAGTATAATAATAATTTCCACAGTGAGGTCAGATAAGGAGCTTATACCTAACGATGCTCGAACGGTTTTTGAACGACGTGGTGAATACCACATTCAAAAACCAAACTTAAAACTAAAAAGCGAAGAAGTCCAAAAGCAGCGGGAAGCCTAAGGTATAGCGAATAAACCAAATGTTTGTAGTGTAAGAAAATTAGATTTTATAAATTGATTATCTATCTTTCAGCTAAAATTGCTTGGTTACTTAATGGGTTCAATACTAATTGGCGTTGCTGGTGTGGCCATCTATCGCTGTAAATACTAATTGGCCGGATAATATATACTAAAGAAGTGAGAAATGATTATTTTATTATATTTGATTTATTATATTTACATAACATATAAAAATACCTATGTACACATATGCATATGCTTCAAGGCTCTTCAACTCCATGCAAGTTTAAATTAGTTTTGCTATTTTTTCGCATTTTATTTAATTAATGACATTTGGATGTATTTTTCTTATCATTTCTTTTTGCTATTCAGATACTTTATAGTTATAGCTTTTTTAGTGTTTATATATAATATATATTATTACATTTTTTTTTTCAATAATTGTATGAATACATTTTTGTTTACATTTATAATGTTTGTAGAGTAAGAAAATTAGATTTTATAAATTGATTATCTATCTTTCAGCTAAAATTGCTTGGTTACTTAATGGGTTCAAATACATTGTTTACATTTATTTTCCATCATAAAATTAAATCTTTTTTTGAACGGTTTACTACTCCTAAGAAAAATCGTCTAAACCATAAAATAGGGCAAAATCGAACGCCAGGTCTATAAAAATTATATAAAACTATTCAGGAGACGTACAAGGGGAGATAAATGCTTCTTTTTTATACATTTATATATACAAAATTATATATTATATTTCAAGCACTTCAAGCACTTGTACGAATATATGGCAAATGTTCAATATAAAAAAAAAAAAAAACTTAATCTTGTTGTAGTTGTTTTGATAATGCGTTGCGTTTCAGACTAGAAAAGCGTGATTGACCATTCCTTACTTATTACATCTTATCATACCATAGCTGAAAGATAGTTTTCATTTAATTATTCAATTC